GCATCTAAATCTTTGATATTTTTTTTCAAGTTTAGGAAGGACTTGTAGTTTCTTGTAATAATATCGTTTCCGAAAACATACAGTTTAGCTTCAAAAGCGTGAATGAGATCCATCATGACGATAACTGTTTTATTCGGGCCTTGAAGCTTTACGTTCAATTCATTGAAATGTTGGCATATGTATGTAAAAAACATCAATTTTAAAAGTCACATAATAATATTCATCAGCTGTGGGCAGTAGCACACACAGGGATTTTTCAAGGGGGGTCCGGGGGTCGAAAGTTGACCATTCTTGTATCATGCTCTTTTTGATTTTGTCCATTTTCGGGAACAAAACACAGTAAAAAACTAATTTTTGAATAAATAACTAGCATTAATTAATAAAATTAATCATTAACAACAAATAATAAATTAAATTTTACGTACTATATACTTAGAATTATAATCAATCGGAAAAAATATCAAGAGCTTTGGGAGGTTCGGACCCCCAGGACCCCCCCTTGTGTGCGCTACTGGCTGTGGGTATTGTTCAATTTTGCTCTCATTTTGCAGAAACAGTCTGATTGCTTCCAAGAAATTTATTTCGTTACTCCGAGTATATCAAGCACTAATCCTCTCACGTTTGGACTATGTTTGTGTAGTGTATGGTTCTGCTCGTGCATCTGTCTTAAAACGCTTGGACACAATACATCATTCTGCTCTGAGAATCTGCTCTCTGGTGCCTTCAGAACTTCGCCTGTTACCAGCTTGTATGTGGTATCCCATCAACCACCTTTAGAACTAAGGCGGAGGCAATTAAGCGCAAATTATTTCATTCGTGCCATATCTGTTCCTTCTCATCCATTAAAACACTTTTCTCTTGCCATTGGTCTCACCCGACTCTATGAACCCCGTTCATTTAACATCAAGCCTTTTTCGGAAAGAGCAAAAGATGTTCAAAATGACGCCCACTTAAGTAACATAAATATCCAGGAGAATAATATCCTTGGTTTTCCACCCTGGGACATCCAAATTTTTAATTATAGTAACCCTTTTTCAGGCTATGACAAAGCAGGCACTGCGGATGTTATTTATCAGCAGCTCTTTTCTTTCCATCGCAATAAGTATTCTAAGTACATACCAGTCTACACGGACGGGTCGAAGACTGCAGAACATGGTAGGTGTGTGTGTGTGTGTGGTGTTATTTTTAACAATACCACTCTAAGTTTTAGCTTACATAATTCTATATCTGTCTTTAGTGCTGAATTAACTGCCCTTCTTGTCGCACTTCAACATATATTAATTTCCAACCACCGTCATTTTTGTGCGTACACGGACAGCATGAGTGCTCTAGAATCCTTACACTTTTTAACAGCACGTAGACACCCCACTGTGATAGAAATACTTCTTCTGCGAAAATTAGGAAGGAAGGGTTTTGATATAATTTTTCTTGGGTACCTGGACACGTGGGTATACTTGGTAATGAACAGGCTGATAACGCTGCACGATCCATGTCTGATCCCATGCAGCAACATGTCTGTTACCAGGATTTAAAAACTTTCATACAGCAGTATATCCATCATATATATGGCAAGAAACTTGGGATCAACAGATCCTCAACAAACTGCATAGCATTCATCCTTCCACTTCTCATTGGGCAGCACTACCAGTACGAAGACATGATGTCCGCTTGACTCAACTTCGCATTGATCATACTCGTTTTACGCACAGGCCCCTTTTGTTGGGTGAAAATGCCCCAGAATCTCCTTCCTGTAAAGTCCCATATTCTGTTTATTACATTTTAATAGATTGTCGCGTTTTTAACCATCATCGCATCACCTTCTTTCATACATCTGTTTTAACCTTATCTGACTTGGTGGGGGAATCTCCCCACCAAAATCTATTTGCGTTCCTTTTAAAAGTTGGATTTTTATATTTGATTTGATTTGTGTGTTTCTTTGGATTTTTAATATATTATATGTATGTATGCATGTCCAAAGTTGGCCCTTGCGCCATTAAAATTCCCATTCATCATCATCATCATCCTCCAAGCAATCAACAAATCTTTGAAGTACGCTCCCACGGGTCAACCAGCGAACATTATTATACATTATACATTAGTAAGCCATTATATACCGAATTGACTTCCTGCAACAAAGCATCAAACTTTCGCTTATTAAAAGCCTGCGACGATATGAGGTTGACTATTTTTGTGACTAACGTTATTACATTATCAAGAGATGTTAAACCACTCTTTGCACTTAAGGCTTGTTGGTGAATAATGCTGTGGCATTCAAGAATCTAATGTCCTACGTCTGTTTTAAATAAAGAAATGAAACCATTTTTTTTGCCTACCATATTTGGAGCACCATCAGTGGTTACTAAAAAACAATTTTTTTTCAAATCAATTTCTTTCTCAGCAAGTGAATTTCTTACTGCCGTACAAATATCTGTGCCCTTTGTAGTTGTTAACAGCGATGGTATCACAATTAATTCTACCTTAATGACGTTTCCTACACAATATCGAGAAAAGACAACTAAACTTGCAGATTTAATGATGCCAATACATTCGTCAAGACATAGCGATATAAAAGGAGCGGAGTTAATGCCATTTTTTTGTTGATCTGTAACATTTTCTGCCACTTTCAATATTCTATCTTTTATTGTGTTTCTAGATAGAGAAATATCTTTGATGCGCTGAATTATTTTATCTTTATTATCAAAATCATCAAAAAGTGAGGGTGCGCATGCCAACCAAGCTTCCTTCAAAAACTCTCCCTCTTGAAAAGGTTAACCATGCCGAGCAATGGCATTTGCAGCCGAGTAACTTGCCGCACTTGTGTGACATTTTTTGCTTACATATTTAAACATATACATTGACTGCTTATACTTCTGCTTTTATTGCACTTGCAATTAATTCTTTTTGCTCTGGTTCGCTTTTTTCACAAAAGGATTTGTGATTTGTTTCAAAATGACGTTTTACAGACGATGTTCTGCATATTACTGTTCCAGAACATAAAACACACAATCATTTGTCGCCTTTACTGATCATACCATATTTCTCAGTCCACCAAGTTTGAAATTCTCTGCTACACTTACTAAATTATCTTGATCTTTTTTTTTCGAACTAACCATGTTAAATAGCAGCTAAAAATCGTAAATTTAACACAAATAGACTTGAAATATACAGTTGTCTCGTCGAAATTGACTATTCAATGTATCTCGCTTGATCACCCCCCCCCTCCAAAAAACATTTTTTACTGACTGCGCACGACTGCGGGCGCATGCGCAGATTTTTTTGTTTTTTGGAAATTGAGTACTTGTTCGAGATTTCTCTAGTATCTGCTCTTTCGCTTTTGTTTCGGGTCTTTAAAAATTTTAAAAATAAAGCCGTGAGAGTTACTTTATGAATTAGACTTACAAGACAAGAATTATATCACATTGATAACTTCGATGTATACAAGCTGAACCATTAATGTAAACGTTACAATATATTTTTAAGTAACTTGAATATATCTAGAAATAGTTACATACACGCACACACTATGCGTAGATAAACTTTGCATCATTAGCAATTATAATACACGATGTAACTACGCAAGACATAACAAACGAGTCTGCTCCCCGACTTGTCGGCGTTGCAACCGATCACTCACGTTTATTCATAATACTTCATAGTGAACTTAATTATTTTCAGCTAAAATTCAAACCATTTTTGATCGATGGCGTGCCCAAAATAATCTGTCGCGTGCCATCATTGGCACGCGTGCCATTAGTTCGTCATCCCTGACCTAGGTTATCGGTGTTATTGCTTAGGTATGGAATGGAAAAAGAGGTATAAAAAAACTGCAAGGCTCACATATAAAGTGTTTTATAATCATTGCAGATTTTTTTCTTTTTGGAAAACATCCTGCAAGAGTATATATTTAACGCTAAATTTCCTTTAAAAAATATAGTTTATAAATTATTTGTAATTTACAATTTTAAGTGATGCAATTTTCATTAAAATTTTTATTACATCGTTCTATTTTATAAATATTTAAAAATTCTTAGTTATATACCTTGCGTACATGAATAACCCAAAATGTGTGTAGCAACTTTCAGTATAATGTATTTCTTGGTGGAAATTATTCATTAAATGAAAAACAAATATTACGTCATTTTTTATAACTCTTAATATTTATTAGTTTCAAATGTTCTTCATAATACTAAAAATGGCGTTTCTGCATATATTTTTACGTTTTCATAATTCAGGATTTCAAAAAATTTTAAACACTAAAAAAATAGAACGCTTATTGCTCTAATGCGCCTCTAGATCCTCAAGTGCTCTTACAAAAATTTACCAGATTTTTTTTTCATTTTTATTCACATAATTCCGACCAATTTTAATTCACTGATAAAATACTGTTATTTGAATTTCAGCCATATTTAAATCATATTGCTCGTATTAGTCTCTGATAAGTCATAAATATTTGTATTAATGCTCTCCAAAACGCGTTTTTTCTGTTTAAATTACTTCACATTTGTCTTTTGATCTCTTTAATGACCTAAAAATATTAAGAAACTACTAACTTTTTCTGAATTACGAGAATTAATTATCTTGAAATCATTACAATACTTTGTTTAAAAAATGTGATATATATTTCTATGGTTATCTAATAAATTTCTTGAAGAAGGTTTTCTAAAACTTTTGTGAATTAAATTTATAATACGAAAGAGCTCTCTCTCTCTCTGTATTTAAACTTTTTCTTTCTTTTTCAATTCCTACTATATATATTAGTTCACTTCTCTCCGTATATATATATATATATATATCTTGTTCAAATTTTCAATTGTTAATAAAATACTTTTTATTCATCCACTCAAGTTCAAATACATTTTTTAAATTTGTATGTGGTGGACTCTTGACGTTAATATTGTTCTTTCAAATATTGATTCATTAATTAAGTTAAAAATGAATAAATAGAAAAAAACAAAAATAATAGTCCAATAGCATATATAGAAAGAAAAATCTTTCATTGTGTCCCTGTAGCGCAATGGATTGCACGTTGGACTTCTAATCCAAAGATCGTGTGTTCGAATCACACCTCACCTGGGATGGCCTAATTTCTCATAATGTGTGATTTCTTTTTACTAAAAAATTACTACTAAAAACTACTTTACTTTAAATTTAATTAATGAATAAATAGTAACAAACAAAAATAACAGTCCAATCCCATATATGAAAAGGAAAATGGAAAATTGCAAGGAAGATCGCTTTCTTTTTTGTCACTTAATGTTCTGATTCTGTCGCATGTATATTCATATTCCTATTATTTGCAACTATTTAAAAAGCAACTAAAATAAAAAAATTTCTTTGTTGACCAAAGTAGGAATTAACTTCAAAGAAAATTTTTTTATGTTACTTGTTTTAATTAAAGAGCTACATTTTTCCATCGAAACATAAAAAAAAAAATATGCAATTTTACGAAAAATGCACATTTTTATTCTGTTATTATTTATACTGTGGTAAACTGAAAATAATTTTTTTGAAAATTAGATATTCAATATGATTTAAAAGTTTGTGTGATTTTTCATCGGCATTTCATGCATTTTGTTGTCGAAAAAAAATGAAAAATGGTGAAAACATACACACGTAAATAACATAGCTTATATTTCCCCAAACAGTTTAAACATCACAATAGATAGCAGGGCGAGGCAAATACTAAAAGAATAAGTCACCGAAGTCAGCCTCCAGATGGTAACCATCGTTTACTGCCATACTTCACTGTCTAGTTTTTCCTTGGCCTTATTTCATTTAGCCAAAATGCGATAAAATGTGTCCAGAACTCTCCTTTCCTCCTTTCTCTGAAACAAATGAACTGCAAATTATGCAACTGTAGCACTTTTTCTCGCCTTAATTGTTCCAGCCAATCTATAGATTAGAGCTCCGGCTTTTCCGCTTTTCATGATACGTGGACGGTGAAAGAATGCTCTCTTTTATGATCACCCAACAAAGAAAGAATAAAATAAAATCGCTTTGAAAGGCGTGTGTTGTTGTTTTTGGAAAACTTTCTTTTCCGAGCGGTCCTTCTTGGGAACTGTGTTACGTTATTCGAACGATGTGAGAAATATGTTCGAAACTAGGACTTGTATGCTTACTTGAAGGGGTGGGTTGGCTTTTGTCAGGATGTGGGTTCTAATGTTGCGTAAAGAAACAATTATATTGACAGTTCTCACAGTTGTTAAAAGTAAACTGAATGCTACGTCCTTTTTATAAAATAATTTTTCTTTAACTATTCAATGCATTATAACTCAAAGAGAAATTTCTCTTTCATTGCAATCAATTGATCTGTTAAATTATTGCGGTTATTGTACTGTTATGTTTCCTTTGACACATCAAGGCTATATTATTTCTCTTTACTTTAAATTGATATTATGAAAGACTCGTTATTTATGTTTTACGCGTCTAGAAGCCTCTATATCAAACCTAAATTGTCATCAATAACCATTACAAAATATTCGTAAAATTAAATTTTAACTATTCTAAGTCATAACTAATAAATGCAACTAATGTAAAACTTTTAATGTATAAACTTTTTTTTTAATAATTTAAGCTATTTTACAGAAGTTAATTCGGTGAATGTCAACTATGAACTGCAATACCGGTATATTGAGCCTTTTGTACAATTTTATAATGCCGGTATTCACAAGTTTAAGTACTATTTTTTCCGTATTTACTAGAAATTGTTTAAATTGGCAAAATAGTATATGTTTTTGTTTTTATGTCGAACGGGATCGTCAATATAAAGGCAAAACAAGAGAAGTGATAAAATATGTAGTCATGATTTTGATTGAATATTAACGTCGCACTGTTCAGCTAACGGGCGAAATGAATTAGGCCGGGAATAACTAAAGTTGCATCGTGCATCAATCTTTAAGAGAACCCGTGACAAAGCAAGCCACGGTCCGATAAACCACTATGCGGCCGTGAGTCATCCGAAGAGGCGAGCCAAAATTACTCTATTACTGCTCAGTGCTATGCTGCACACACACAGAATTCATAGTCTGACATTCGTATCTGTGGAAAAAAAAGGCTGTAGTTGTGAAGAAAGTGCGCAATATTTCGATATATTTTAAATTGGTGAGTTTGTTATTCACATTATGTTTGCATATCATACAGTACAATTTATGCGTTATGTTTTTGAAGATCCCATTTCGAAAATTTGTAATAGTACCACAGACTGAATAGTGATATTTATACTTTTTTGTAATTTAAATAAATAAGATTTCTATTACTTTTTTTGTGATTCTTAATATACTGTTATAATTGGTCAATTACAAATTATTTTTATGTTATTTACACTTTCTAATAAAACTGGCAAAAAAACAAAGAAACACCTGTGTTTTCTTTCTTTTTCTAAAATTTCTACTACCGTTATTAAAACTGGTATACTGGTATTAAGATCTAAAAAAATACCGAATACCGGTATTGAACTTTTGGTCCGATATTGCAATCCCTAATCTCAACATATATTTCAATGTATTTCTTGTTGAGAATTTGGTATGATATTAATTATTAGATTAAAAAAAACAAGTATTTAATTATGATCCGCCTTGTGTGAGTGTCTGCTTCCCCAAATTAAAAAAGGATTATTTCAGATAGTCAGATTAAGGCTATGACTCGCGTACCCCAATGACCCTTATATTCTGACCTTAAAAACTACTAAGGTTAGAATTTTGAATCTCTGATAAGAATCCTGTTTAAAAATGTTAAAACACGTTTTAAATTATGTGAAAAAATATTCGCTTTTAGTTCTATGAAATACATTTGTTCAATTACAATAAAATTTTTGGTATGATATGTATTGCTGCTTGTTTCTAGAAAATAGCTATAAATAATGTTTTAAAACAATTCTTTCTTCTGTTCAACTTTTCTGGATTATGACAGATTTACTCTTTGTAGGGAAAACTTTTCTAGTTTGTGGAACATTTTCTTATACATCAGCAGTTCTTAAACTATGGTACATGGACTCCTGGGGGTCCCCAGCGCCTTTCTAGGGGTCAGTGGAATCTGTCGTATAACGATAAGATGTCCTTCTTTTACGGACTCTGAATGGTTTCGCGGAAAAATTTAAAAATTTGCCGTTCTAGACTAGATCAGTAAATTGCCCCGAATGAAAAAACTCTACCAGAACATGTATTTTGATGAAAAATATTAAGCCTGTTTTCGCCATATACACAAGAGCGTGAACTTAACGCGGAGCACATTTTTATTTTTGGACAAAAAAAAATACCTCAATCTTAATAAAAATTAATGACATAGTAATTCATGCATTTGTTTATATATAGTATAATGTTTTCAAAATTTTAAAATATTTCATAAATAATTAGTTTTTCTTTTAAACATGTAAAGGGATAGCTTATTGAGCATTACGGAATAGGGAAAAAATGAGAAACACTTTTTATAAAAGAAAAAAATGTGTTAACTCGGATAAAAATGAGTAGTTTGATAAAATAAGCGATTCTCTAAAGGACAGTGAAACCAGAAGGTAATATTAAAGTTGGAGTACTTTTATATCTGAAAAAATATTCCGAATTTGGGTCATATTCTTTAACAGCCGAAAACAGCCTTCAGTCAAGACAGGATGTTTAAAGTCTTAAAAGTCCGCGATGCCAGGGTGATATATAAAGGAGGTCCGCGGCGATCAAAAGTTCAAAAATCGCTGCTATACATTGTAGGCAATTAGATTAGATAGTATAACAACCTTTTGAATAGTTAGATGATAAAGAATCTCTTTTAATGCTCTTGGAAGACATGGTAGCCGAATAGTCATGGTCTTGAAATCGTGGCTGTCGTTGTTTACATCGAGTTCTGTGTTCAAGTCCTGATACCATTAAAACCCGCTGTGTGAAGGAAATGAAGCATGGGACGGCCTCACACGTCTTTTCTTTAACATGTCCTTTGGGTTCTTTGGAGCCAGAATTAATGGCAACACTTTTCCAACCAAAAACAGGAAGTGAAATGTGATGAAAGATGCAAATTAAGAAGATTTTAAATATCAGAAGTTAGAGTAAGCGCGATGGCAATTAGAGGAATGTAAGCAGTTCGTGGTTCTAGATTGAAGAAGTTTTAGATAACGTTACGTGGCGAAGAATAGTAATTATACGTGATAGAGATCCATTGATCAAGGTGCATACCATTGCACTCGAGTTAATGCAAACCTCATCTAGAATTGTCGTGATCGTTACTGATACTACAGCAAGGTAGGATTGACTATTTAATATTATAATCTGTAATAGTCGTGGTGAGTCAGTTATTGATAGTGGTTCGAATTAGGTCAATTCGGTAATATACACTCAGGAACATTGAAAATAGCGACCAAAGAAGGAAACTAAGTACAATCGCGAAACTTTGCAAACAAGTACAGCGTAATGTGATATGCAAATGATCCAAGTTTTGTGCCAATACGCATGCTCATACACGTTCAACGATACGAGCAGACGTAGGCGTAGCAATTGTTCCACAAACAATTTCCAAACACCTTGAAGATGCAAATCTTAAATCCAAGCGCCCTTTCCGTGCACTCCCTTTAACACCGGAACATCGGCAACTGCGTCTACAGTGGTGCCAAGCCAGATCAATGTGTAGTGTCAGAGATTGGCAAAAGGTTGTGTTTAGTGATGAATCCCGGTTGGTTTTGGGGACAGATGATAACCGTGTGCGGATGTGGAGGCGCCCTGGTGAGCGGTACAATTCCCCCCACACTGTTCTACGTCACACTGCCCGCACAGCTGGTGTAATGGTCTGGAGGGCCATAGCCTATGATAGCCGGTCCACTTTAATTATGATGCGTGGAACATTAACGGGCCAACGTTACGTTGATGATATTCTTCGACCCCATGTAGGACCTTTCCAAAATGGTCTCACAGGGGCAATTTGCCAGCAAGATAAAACTCGCCCGCATACAGCAAGAGTTGCTCAAGATTTCCTACGTCATTTTCAGACTCTTCCATGACCCGCCCGCTCTACTCCAATTTGTCCCCTGTAGAGCACGTGTGGGATCAGCTAAAACGGCAGATGTCATCGTGTCACTCTGTACATGATTTAGAGTTGGCGG